GATGGACAGCTGCGATTTCGACTTGTTGGCGGTTGAAGTTTAATGCAGCAGAAATTAGTAACAATAAAGCTGGAAATCAGATTTTTTAAAATATCGAGGAATATTGAAAAATGTTAATTATGGGCGCATTTTTTCACAGTGACTACCAGTATGGAAGACAAAATTCACGGAGGAGTCTGAAAATATGTGTGGCGGCTTGACGCCGACACTTACTCTATTCTGTACTAATCCATTAGAGAAATAATCGATTTTTGTTATCGACTTTTTGGTGCACATTTGTATTAGGTCTCTAGTTACTTTCTCTTCTAGACTTGCCCAGCAGCCTATTTTTTCCAACAAAAATTTCAAGTTCATACATGCTCTGCCGCAAGACCTGCTAGAACATGGTTGAACTAAGAAGGTTAAGTCATGCTATATTATGTTTACAATTTTTTCAAAATATTACCCTTGACAACATCTCATTGTCAAAATAGGAACCTTTTTCTATTCAATGAAATTTGACAAGGTAAATTACAGAAAATGCAGAGATGGAAAGTCTTATTTGACATACACATACAAACTGTGTATATTTTTTGACAGAATAGGGGTACAAAGGGAGAAAATAGTATTTAGGGGTAGCTTCGTTCTACCTCTTGTATTTGTACCATGATAGTTACCCATGGCTCAATAAGAAAGGTTTCTCAACTTTAAAGAAACTAGATAACAGCAACTCTGTGATGCAACCGAGTTTGAAATAATTTTAAATTATTGTATTTTTTATTCAACACAATGCACAAACATACACAACAAGGGTATATGTTTTGACAGAATAAGGGCACAAAAAGAAAAAAAGATGTATTTAGGGGGTAGCTTTGTTCTACCTTCTGTAATTATGCTTTATGTTCTAATTATAAGTCTTGTATCTTCAAATTAAGTAATAACAAATGCAGCAAGTTGTTTGTTAATCTGACACTTTTATGACAATATTTTAATTCGAGAGAAAATCGCGAAAAACCAATGGAACGCCGCGAGCTTCACTATATCGAGTTCCTAATACACCTCCTTTTATCCCAAGCGCAAACTTTTTTCTGCCCAAAAGCTATATACATTACATGGTAGTAAAATACAGGTAACAGCAAGTTGTTGTACAACAATCGTAACAACAACCACATACAAATTTGTTTTTGTACGTAAAATAAGTGTCAGAGTTATGTGTCCAAAAATGTAAACAAAATAATTAATTTTCAATAAATTATTTTAATTTTAAAAATATACGTTATTGGTATTTGGATTATTAAATTGAAAATGCAGAAGAATAGTTATTAACCTATTTAATTTTAATGCTTTCACATCATTCCCCTGAATGTATAGTTGTTAGCTGTTGGCCCTAGTCTCTCAACACTTCAAGCAATCGCTAGAAAATCGTGAAAAAGGCAACATCCCTCTCAAGTTGAAACCAAACAGCATACATACATAAAGTATTCTACATTTTGCAATTTTAGGAAACATCATGGCACAATTACAGAGGGTAGAACAAAGCTACCCCCCAAATATTTTTTTTTTATTTTTGTGCTCTTATTCTGTCGAAACATATACACATTTTGTGTATGTGTGTGTATTGTTTTGAATAAAAAATACAATAATTTGAAATTATTTCAAATTTGGTTGCTAAATAAATGCAAATTTTCGACCTGAATGGATAACAAATTGTACAATTTTGCGATATCACTGTATTGTCCTACTATTTTAGATTCCATCTTGTGGGATAACCTCGAAATTACATTCTTGTTTCGCGGTTTTTCCCCAATATAAGAATTTTGTTAAAAAAAAAAATAAACAAAGCCTACTGTTGCATATTTTAAAGTCTATTTGAGACTATAAGACTCCAGCACAGATTTGCATTTTTCTAGTTTCTTTGAAGTTGAGCAACCTTTCTTATTGAGCCATGGGAAACATTAAATATACGAATACATTATATAACGTGGAACAGCAACCTTAAACGCAAACAAAGTTTCCGAACCATCGCCTTTGTAGTTTTGTTAAATACACCGGGATTTTTTCTATTATTAGCAAAAAAAATATGTTCACATTGCCCTGCAGTGAAATTTTATATCAAAAAAGGGTATACCTATTGTATATCAAAAACGTCATTGTAAACAAAAACGTCATATCGACTTTTACACCAGTATTACTATAGAGTCAAATCAGCTGGGACTTGCTTTTGCCTGTAATAATTATACCATGTATGCATTAAAAATTATTGTATTTATTGAGAAAATGCATACATATAGAAACTGTATATGTGTTTTGCAATAAACAATTGAATTCGGGTGATTACTATGCTCTAGTCATGTGTGGTGGAAGAATACTGGTAGCAGCATCAACACATATGGTCGTACCATAAACTGTCAAAGCTTTTATGAAAGGATAAATGTTGAATGAAAAATTACTCAAATTAGTTAAAATTGTTGAAAACCCCACATCATAACAACTCCATTACAATTATGGGGATTATAACCCATTTTTTCCTTCATAATCCTCATAATTGTAATGGAAATGGGGATTATGTTCAAAGAAAAAAACTCCATGGTAGAATTAAGGTTTTTTTTCAAAATTTTCCATTTGACAAAATCTCATTGTCAAAAAAAATTATTTTGACAAAGATAAATTCAAATTCAAAATAAAAACGTAAATTTTGAATTTGAAAATATGAGAACAATTTTTCTTTGCAAAAAAAAAAAAAACAAATTTTGGCCGGAATGGAAAATTTTTTATTGTTCCCAAGCATGTGACTCATATACAATTTTTGGGACAGCATTCCGTTTTTCATATCCAGCGGGTCGACATTGTCCCTTTTCACATCTGATCGAGATCTGGTGAAAATACCTACGTGAAACCCCCAAGTTTTTCTTATTGTAATAATTGTTTAGGTTGCTGCCCTTCTGTCCATGAGATTTCATCCGCTGCGGTATGTCCAAAACAGGGTTCTCGAATTAAGGTTTAGGAACTATGAAGAAAAAAGGGGCAATTTGGAGTATTCGGGATCCCATGTCAAAGGAAGTACTGGTTTATCCCTGAAAAAATGTATGTTGTTTTAGTCAGGATAAAAAAAGCAGTCCTTCGGTGAAAATTTCCAATTTATGGGACAACTTTTTGGCGAATCATGGATAGAGCCAATTACGTAATACCTTTAACCATTCTGAATATTTATTACAAACAATTAATTTCACAGAATTCATTGAAAATTTGAATGGTTTACAAATGTACATAAACAAATCTTGTTTTTGTTGTGACAGTTCATATGAACGATTGTATTTGACAAGCTCAGTTACAGAAAATGCAAAGATGGGAATGCTTATTTGAAATGACTTCACCTTCTTGATTTTACCATGAAAAACTCGGACATAATCCCCATATAATCCCCGATTTTTTCTTTCATAACCCCCATATTGGAATTGTGTCCAAGAAAAAATCGATCATAATCCCTATAATTGTAATGGGAAAGGGGATTGTGTCCAAGACAAAATCGGTCATAATCGCCACAATTGTAATGGGATTGCTATGTTGTGTGCTTTTCACCAATTTTAATCAATTTGAGTGATTTTTCTCTTTAAAAAAAGGGGCGAACGGGGCTTGAAACTTTCTCCTGTGGGTATGTCCTGTACCGGCTAACGCGAACCTAAGTTTTCTAAACTTTAAACTTTTTGCAAGTAGCCGGCCTTTTGCTGTGGTTAGAGGTTGGCGTCATGTTACGTATAACAGCGAATTTTTCTATTATTATGCAAAAAAAATATGTTCACTTTGCCCTGCAGTGAAATTTTATATCAAAATAGTGTATACTGGATATGCATTTTTGAGGACGGTATGATAACATTTACATATATCTAAAAAAACTTGATGTTTTATTCCTTTTTCGAAATTTTCTCTTAAATTAAATAATGATTGAAAAAGTGTAAATTATTTTGTTGTATTTGCTCTTGTTGTTTTCAAGTAGAAATAAATATATACTTTTTGTTACCGGATAATAGATGTTGCCGATAATCAATTAAAAATGTAAACAAATTGAACGATAAATTTTTAAATGTGAACACATCTTCTATTTTTACTAGCGACATCTATTGGTTTGCAGAGTAAACGCCTCAATTGTCAGTACTACATGGAAATGGAACAGCACTACACGTCAATTTATTAAAGTTGACAACACCGCTTTCCAATTAGAATTGAGACGATTTTTGTTGTTGTTTGTGGGTCGAGGAGACAATTTACAACAATACTGTCGTGAGCGCCACCACCACAACAAACAAATTCTAATTGACAAGTTTTTAAATTTGCATGTTTTTTGTGATATTCAGTTCTGTGGTACAAACTTTTAAATTCTATATAATCTCCCCTATTGAAGACTCATATTGAAATTACGCGACGAAAATCTCGGGAAAATTCATTGCGCCGAACAGAAAAGTTTTCTTTTTTTTTATTATACACAACAAACAAACGCAAGACGCAAAGAAACGCAAGACGGTGGTAACTTGGCTAAAAGAAAAGATAGAAGAGTGGCAGTGGTGAAGTGGAGGAATGTGAATGCAACAAAAGGAAAGGCAAAAATAAATAATAAGTCAAAATTTGAAGGTGCGCATTTCTTTGACAGTGAACAGAAGAATTTGCGAGGAATCCGAAGAAGGGCGGACGTAAGAAACGTAAATAAAAGACTGAGATCTGCATGGATTTAATTGTGCTTGACTGAGTTTTTGAAGAATATAATCCGAATTTCGAATTTTAGTGAAAAAAGTATAGTTTTGATAAAACAATCGACAATCCGGAAGCGAGTTACCATTGTCTGCCTGTCTTCCGGTCGGTGACATCGAAAAAATAAAAACATATGAAATCAACATAGACTGCATTGTATACGCATTCATTTTGAATTCGGAGAGAAATACCAAACAAAAGGACTGAACGGATCAGAAAACTCATCCAATTATCGTGAAATTCATAAAATTTAATTCGAACAGTGAAAAGCATCTTTAATGCTCTCATACGTCATACCTGCTCCCCAGGAAACATCGGCTGCGAATGGCCGTTCGTCGAACCGAACTGAAGGCGATGCAGAGAATGGTGGTGGTAGTATAACCAACAGGGAACCAGTGCCTTCTCCACCTCGTTCTAGCCTAAGTCTCAGACTCAACTCCCAATACATGGCCGGAACAGAGTCCCACACAACAGAGGTGGATGCCCTGCTGGCGAATGTGAATGTGGCATCTGGCCATGAGTTCTGTGACGACGAGCGCACCCATTTACTGAACGACACAAACCACACATCATCTCCGGTACGGGTGAAGCGTCAGAACAGTAATGGCAGCAACAACAATAACTCTTTTAGTTTGAACAACAATGCCAATAACACCAGCAGCAATACCGACGTCACCACTAACAATAGAAGATGTAGTGGCGATGGTGGAGGAGGTGGCGGTGGCGGTGGAGTAAATGTGGCGGGCAACAATTGTGGCGACGATGTTGTCAATGTTAATGTTCGCAGCTCCGTAGAGGGAACATCTTCGGATGATGGTCCAGATTCCCACCACACCACTGTTACCCATACTACTGAAAAGCCACCTGCACAGCAAGATGAATCCCAGAATCCCCGCCAGCAATCGATGACAACTAAGAAGCCCAAACTAAGCAAATTGGGTTCGAACAAAACAGTCGGACTAAAAAGGTAAATACCTACAAACAAGCACAAATAATTCTATTTTCTATCCATTTATTGCGACGTCGACATCTTGTCATTGGAATGACGAACGTTTGACGGATGATGGGATGGGTGATATGGATGCAATCGCCCGACCAACCGACTAAACAACCAACGATTGTCATATTACAATGTATGGCACGAAATGTGTACCGTGTGTGTAGGCAAGAGAATAGTTGTACAATTTTGACCTACTTAGAATTATACAATGACGACAAATGACAACAACAATAACACCAACCACACATCATACCCACTGACATGTAATGCATTTACGTCGCCCATTTGGGTGTACATTTCTTTTTGGAATTCATTATGTGCGATGGGTGTGTGCGTGTGTACGACTAGTACGACTTTCTTGACCTTGTCGTCGAGTTTTCAATGGCTATAAATATAGGAAGTTGTCTTCTCCTTATTGCCGAACGATCTTTAATCCTTTTTGTGGCATTCTCCACAAATAGGGACTTTTAATTGAATTGAACTCTGTGACGAGATCCATCTGTTCGAATAATTTCATTGCATCCGCTTCAATGGTTGATTGGAAAGATTCATGGTTGGTAACAAAATCTGTTCGTTCCACTCCATATAAAATGAATATGAATATTATTCACTGTTTTCTCTTCCATTGTACTTTCTCTTTGCCGATTGCTTTCCCTCCTCCGAAGCCCAAAATGTGCTTGATTTGAAAGTGCAAAGGGACTCCGTTCATCGTCTTCTTCGGCGCATTAAATGTCACAGTCATGGAAGTGCAGTGAATCGAATCGTGTCTCCAATATATTCCCATGAAGACAGCAGCGCAGAGCAAATTATTTGGTCGACTTTTTTGTACTTCTTTGTCTTTTGTCCCACAGCGGTAATGGATTCGCGTTTTGCTGGCAATGGACTGGCTGACGACTGATGATTTGCAAATCATCCCATTTCACCTGATATCCACTACTCAGTTAATGTAGTTTTATTATGTTATTGAAAGGGAAATCGAAGAGCCGTCGTATTAACTGCAGGGTCGGTGGTTCCGTTGTGACTCCCTCTAAATGTCAATATGTCTGGAATGTGCTGCAGTGATTGATGGATGATTTCTTGTTTTAAATTAATCTGTCGGCATTAAAATATTCTATATGCTTAATAATATATACTGCCAATTTATTATATTAATATACATGTCCAAATGTCCAAAGGGTCGATAACACAACCTTGTTAAGTGATGGCAATAGAACATTGAAGATTTAGGTAAAAGTAAATTCAATGCAAACATGTAATATGATAAGTCCCCTTGAAATTTGCCACCCCCCCAACCCTGACACTGTACCTTAGTGAGCCATAAATTTCTTTGAATATTCATTTGCTTGTTGGATCTTTCATATCTTCAAAGTTATGGTGATGCTTATAGCGCACGCAAGTAGAAAACCTTCCAAAAATAATAAGAATAGGTCACCGTTTCGGTAAAACCCTCATATGAAGGTATCCCCTGGTTTCGGCTATTTCGGGGAGTATTTGCCATCTTGGATTATTAGGGGATAGAAAAGCTATTCGCAGAAGATGTTTAATTTAGGACAATGTTTTGGAGTAGCGCCCATATAAATGCACCTTTTGATTCAAGTATATTTGATAGTTTTAATTATATTAATTACATTTATTAAGACAATTGTTTAGAATTCGATGTTCATACTTCATAATGGATTCTACCTTCGGTGATAAAGCATTGTCGCAATATTCGGTATTTTGATGATGGTTTGAAATATAAATAACGCACGATTCTTATAAACATATATTTACATGTAAGTCTTTCTTTCTATAAAGTTCCTACCGAGAAAAGTTAGACAGTGACAAAGTAAGTGCTCTACCGGTTCAGTTTCCTCCTCAACTAGACAGAGCCTGCAGTAATCGGTAATCATTTCCCTTATGTTATAGTGACCTGTGATAATTTCGCCATGGATAAGAGCGACTTAGATCTCCTCTCAGAGAGCACCGGCAAAATTTTTTCAGAGACAATACATTTTGCCATTTGTGATGAAATTCAAGGTCTTGTCAATTCATCTATTGATTCATTGCTAGAGTTGTTGCAATGGCCTGAAAACCAACAATGCTTAATGGCTCAACGGCTTAGTTTTTTCAGTGCATTTCTACACTTCAAAACTGTCATTTATTTAATGGTACATGAATTTTGTGCCTTCAGAGAGGCTTAAAAATTAACATATATAGTTCAATTCAATGTTTCTGTTTCCGTTGAAAGGTGTGTTGTTTCCAATCCAGATGTCCCTGTCAGGTACATGGATGACTAGTAATTCCAAGTTTAGCTGAGGTGATATGTAGTCACTGGCCTTGACCCCGCCTCCAAGTTCTCCACATGCTAAAAAATAGCAGAATATCCAAGTTCTCTGAGTCTAGGGGTAATTTAGAATTAGTTGTAGAAAACTTGCAATTAATTTTTGGAAACACTTCTAGTAGAGACCTAAGGGCCGAACTTTTAATATCCTCCACCACTTGGAAAAACTTGAAAATTTTGAAAAAAAAAAAAAAACCGAAAACTACCACTTAATTGAAAACCGTTATATGGGACCATGCGAAGACGTGGACCTGCTTGGGTGAATTTACGAGTTGTATATCCGGCAACGTTATCATAATTGGATAATGGTCTAGTTGAACGAGGTGACTACGAAAATTTGTATGTTTATATTATTTATATATTAATGTTGTGACCAGTTCAATTAAGTGAGGGTATTTTTGTAGGTGGCCAGAAAGTAAGCTGACCGGTAAAATATGACATGTAGCCTAGGTGACGATATGGAATTAAAAAATCCTTTCTCTATTCTATGTGCTAATCAATGTTCTACAACAGGGAAATGGTTCTAACATTCATTTCTCTGCCTCTGTATAAAGGTGATATTCAACATACACCTAAAATTCTAACAACGAACTGTGAAACATGATCACAATGCTGAAATCCATAAGATAAAAATAATATGCATAACATAAAACAATAAAATATGATTCTAACACACTTTCTTCTCGATTTGATGGCTTCGGATTAATGTAAAGTTGCTTCTAAACAAAATATAAAACAAATATTAAGAACGCGACGATATTCTCAAGATTTAGAAACCGAAATGATTCTAAATAGGGTAAGTTCTCCTAAGGTCAGCGTATCCCAGTTGTGTTCTGCATTATATCAAGCAAATAAGAATTATTATAACTAATTATGAAAACAGTTTTATATTAGTTTAGAAGATGCTGTCTGTCTGATGTTGAAAAATTAATTCATTCAGTTGATTTTTGTTAGCGAGAGTCTTCAGCACGAGCGAGATAATGCATGCTCTTATGTTTTTTACCTAATGTCCGACATGCCGTACAAAAATACTCACCTATTCCACTATAGTAACATGTTTTGTACGGTCGAATTACCAAAATCTCATGCCAACTAAATAAAAACAATGATATATTCTAAAAATTGTTCAAACCGTTGCCCATGTCATTTATAAACACTTATATATTTATTGCTATTTTTTTCATTTCCAGAATGTGTTTTTTTTATCTTCTACAACTCCCATACTATATTTTGTATACACCTAAGTCTGTTTTTACACGGTAGATTGGTTCCAGAGAAGCCGTGTAAAAAAAAAACGTGTAAAAAAGATATTGATTTTATGGGTGATTTGTTCCTAATGGGTGATTTGTTCCTAATTTCTAAAACCTATTAAAATTAGTGAAAAACAGAATTTTTAAGAACAAGAATTCATGTCTATTTTATTAAATCAAATATATAATGCTTGTGCTATTCACATTTGCTTTGACCAGTAAAAAATGTTTGTACGCGCTAAAGGGGAATTCACTTAAATCTTTAAGCTAGTGTTCGCAAACTATTGATACTATCGATGGTTTCAGACTTTTTTCTTTCATAAATACTTTTTTGTAATATGAACATACTTCGTAAAAATTAAATTTGACAAAAAAAATTTAAGTACATAAAATTTCAAATAATGCTAAATGGAATAAATCGTGTAAAAAAATTAAAAATATTCAATTTTCAAACCGTGTTATATCAAAACCGTGTACAAAAAGACCGTGTAAAAACAGACTTAGGTTGTATATACAAGGTATCAAAATAAACGGATTGAGCTAAAAACTGCTTTACTGAGCATTTGCTAGACGATATAAGGTTTCTAGCAAAGTACTAAAGATCCTGGGATAGAGAATTTAAGTATTCAAGCAAGGTTCGATAGCTCGCAATGAGAAATGGTTCCAAATGTGAATTCTTTGGCCAACAGCCAAATTTGTTTAATTAATAAAAGAAGCCCTACTAAATATGCAAAGTGGTCATAAAATATTTAATTACTTTCAATTCACAAAAAAAAAAAAAAAAAAAAAAAAAAAAAACATAAAAAATAAGTCATCAATACATTTTAAAAACGTTATCAAAGTGTAATATTCCTAATTTTTCATTTGCTCTGAATCAAAATAGTTTTGATCGTCAAAATCGAATTACATCGAAGTATGTATCTTTTTATAAAAATTATTTCAAGTTGGTATTTTTTGTGCTATTTTAAGAAATAATAATGTTATATGGCAGTAAAAATAAAGTGCATCGACTCTTCTTTTTAACTAAAGATAAAGAACATAGATCTCTTTGTGAAAATAAACTGACAAAGCATTTAGCTTTAATTTTAGTTGTAGACTTGTGTCATGTTATGCTCGACTTGAAGCATTCATTTGACATTAAAAATTCTTTGTAGATAGTAAATCTTCATACAATATTCTGGTGAAACCTCCATGTAAATAGACAACCCGCGATATTTATTTTTAAGGGGTTTTGTTAAATGTGGACACAAATAATGAGCTACTGACAATATATAAATTGATCGCAAAAAGGTTTTGTTCGGAAATTTTGAATTTGGGATCATAGTACAATGATACAAACTCTATTGATTCAAAAAGTCAAGAAATCTAAACAAAGAATTCTGGGACGAGAAAGTTGTA